CACACACACACACACACACACACACACACTCTCACCTACAACGTTGTGCCTTCAAGACTTCGAGTAGAGATTTCCCTGCATTTATCATGCGTCATTTCCCTCATTGGATAGGAAGTTCCTTCTAGTCGGCCAGATCAGACTCCGGCATGCACTGTTCCACAATTTGTCACTTAAACAAATTGAAATGGACACCATGGCTAAATGAGAGAAGGAGTCGAGCCCCGAGGCCAAGCGGGGACCCTGGAGACTATGTTGCACTGCCAGTTGGAATGCGCGGAGGTGAACAGTATACGGGAGGAAGCCAAGACTACCTGGAGCTACTTCTCACGGGCTCCCTTTCCGGTGCTCAGGACCACCCTACTGTTGGGACTATACCTCCCAAGCCAATGGCAGCCTTTTGAGAAGCACGTGTTTCAACTGTTAAGGCAATACAGCCTCTGGACTATTTGGAAACGGCAATGCCAAATCACTCTCGAAAAGCGGTCAATGCACAGGCAGGAGGCAAAGGAAATGCTCCTCGTCCTAATCGAAACCGACTTGTGAGCACAATGGAAGAGGGTGAGGAGTCAATGCCAGCAACATCCGGAAAAGGCTGAGGAACACAGGACCCACTTCATCCAGAACATACCGGGGCCAGAGGCGGTAGCTAGCATCCAGAGAGGGAAACTGAGATTTAAATGGAGAACGGAAAGACTGGGAGCAAAGTAGGCAGCCAATAGTTAAGGAGGCATAGTAAAGACTACACTAAGGCCCAAAGGGGGCAGGAAGAAAGGTAAGCCTGGTGAGGGAGAAAGCAGAATGTCTTAGGCCTTGTAAGTCTGGAGAGACAGGGAGGATGCGGAGTTCAAAGGTAAAGAGAAAGATGAGTAGCAGTAGTAGGGTATAGGGTTTAAGGAGAGGAGAGGAGGAAAGAGAGAAAGGGGGGAGATGATGGGTAGAGGAAAACAGGGGTAGGGCTAGGAGGCAGCAGGGGGGAATACTCCACTGGGGTCAAGGCTCTCCAGCCTATAGTTACCTTTCTGGGTTCAGAAGCGCAACTAAGGGGCAGGTAGGAGGGCTTTATCCTTCACTCCTAAGGAACCAAGAGAACAGAAGGCAAGAGAGTAGGAGTTTAGCGAGCTAGCTTTAGGCTTTAAAGGGCTAAGAGAGCAATAGGAAGAAATAATTAGGATTGAATGACAAGAAACCTAGAGGCTGAAGGAAGAGATAGGGGTTATTAGGGATCTGTGGGGATAAAGGGAGGTATTATTTGTTCCTTTTATTTCTGTTTTGGCCGTATTTTGTCCAGTTTGTGTTTTTTGGTAGCAGTGAATGGAACGCTGGACCCGGTTTCCAGCACAAGCCCACCTGGGTAAGGGCCCCGGTACTCTCCGGGTTGAGATGTTGAGGAATTCCCGGCCTCTTTGTTTGGACATATAATAAAACTACACCTTTTTGTAAAATAAAATAAAAAAGAAAGAAATGGACACCTGAACTTGCTTCTGAGAGAAGTGGCAACATCCTCAACAAATTGCTCATAATGGTTATGCAGCTGCTGGCGTAATATCACACGACACCAACAGGCCTAGCTCAGTTGTTACACCAATGAACTGCTGAAATACAGACCTGAATTCAAATCCAGATGAAACCAGATGAATGAAATAGTGTAGCTCTTAGCTGGGGCCTCTCAATTTCACAATTACATCTCAAGGCCACCGTCCTTTCTTTTGTCCCTTTTTCTTTCAAAAACCACACTGTCAATGGGGCATTAGACTGAACATTTAGTTAAGTGATACTGCACTCAAGCAGATATCCTGTGGTAGAGTAGCCTCAGCATTGTTCTCATGACAACAAGGGTCATTATCCCCACAAATTTAGTCTCAATTTGCGGAAGGCTCCAAGCAGAAGACAAGATGTCCATCCTAATGTGGCAGAGCAGACTCACTTGGAGGGAAGGTGTATCAAGACTGGTGATGCTGACTTGTATGTCAGGACCTGGGTACAGGAAACCAGAGAACAACAACAGTGTCAGGGACAAATTCCCTTGTCAAAAGCCAAGTTCTCATCTGATAGATTTGCACACCCTTTGCCATCGTTTTCTGCATGTTCATTTGCTCAAGCATTCCACCCTTGGATGCAATCTCTCAGCTAAGCATTCCATGTCATCATTCACCTCATACCTACAGTGCATGTCCTCTCTGTCATCAAGGACAGACTGACTAACGAGTCTTCTCTTATCCTTCCATAGTCTTCCATCTTCATTCTACACTCACTTTCCGTTTGTTTCCTTTTGCATTGTTTTCCTGCCATCGTTCTCCCTCTCCTTTTACTCGGCCTCTTTTTCACAATGTGCAAGTGAGCCACTATGGCACACGGGGGTGTGGCCAACTTGTGCTCAGCTACAACAGTGAGGCGAGCCTTGTATGTGAGAGGCACAGTAAAGGGGGAGGCAAAAGAAGACATAAAAGAGAAACCACGGACAAAGCCACAAGGATTCAAGGAAAGAAAAGAAAGAACTCCATAGCAAGAGGCAAAAGAACGGTTTCAGTGTGATTTGCGTTGCCTGTTATTTTCTGCGTTTGTGTTTCACAACGTGCGCTCTTTTAGTTGGATTCATATGTGACAATATACATTGTCATAGACAAATGCGTAGTGAACTGCAGGCAGAAAAGAGAAACGGACACACACACACACACACACACACACACAAACACCTGTCTCTTATACACATCTAGATGTGTATAAGAGACAGTCATAGAACACGCTCACGCTTCTTTCCATTTGGC